TGTTGCGGGTTAAGTTTTAGAACCAAATTCGAAGAATTAAGGAAAATACAAAACCAATATGTCAATCGTTGGGACATGTATGTTCGACCACTGGGATGTTTACCTTACTAGATACATTTTTGCTCGGGTAACCGATTTTGTCACTACTGACTCTCTCTCTCAAATTTGCGACACTCGTCTCTCTCTCTCTCTCTCTCTCTCTCTCTCTCTCTCTCTCTCAAATGCCCTCGCTATAGTAACTTTTTGTTGGAATACATATGAAGCCTTTGAAATGTCATTGTGAGGAGAAATGCAAAGTTGTTAAAAATGCTCAGACACGAGTGAGTCTCTTATTTACACTTTAAGAGTTAAAATCCCAATGAAAAATTTGTCATATATAATTATATAAAATTATATAAAATTATATATAATTATACATAATTATATATTATTATGTATCAAATTTGTCCATTCATGTTCATTCTATTTATATATGTAATTATACATAATTACATTCTATTTATATATGTAATTATACATAATTACATTCTATTTATATATGTAATTATACATAATTACATTCTATTTATATATGTAATTATACATAATTACATTCTATTTATATATGTAATTATACATAATTACATTCTATTTATATATGTAATTATACATAATTACATTCTATTTATATATGTAATTATACATAATTACATTCTATTTATATATGTAATTATACATAATTACATTCTATTTATATATGTAATTATACATAATTACATTCTATTTATATATGTAATTATACATAATTACATTCTATTTATATATGTAATTATACATAATTACATTCTATTTATATATGTAATTATACATAATTACATTCTATTTATATATGTAATTATACATAATTACATTCTATTTATATATGTAATTATACATAATTACATTCTATTTATATATGTAATTATACATAATTACATTCTATTTATATATGTAATTATACATAATTACATTCTATTTATATATGTAATTATACATAATTACATTCTATTTATATATGTAATTATACATAATTACATTCTATTTATATATGTAATTATACATAATTACATTCTATTTATATATGTAATTATACATAATTACATTCTATTTATATATGTAATTATACATAATTACGTATAATTATATATATAAATTCATATATAATTTTACATAATTGCGCATAGATTTATATGTAATTATACATATTGTTATACATAATTGTGTATAATTATATATAATTTTATATGATTATATATAATTATACATAATTATGTATGGACAAATTTCATACATAATTTTGTATGAAAAATTTTTCATCGGGATACTTTGGATCAATTGCAAATTTTTCAAATTAGATAAATATTTTAACTTGTCCAGAAATATTTACAACTTTATAGAACAAAAACAGAATATCACGTTTGTTTTTGTTCACGTGAATTTCCCTTGGAATTTGTGCGATATCGAGTGTCGAGTTTTCGCGATTTAAAAGCGAACAAAGGTCAATCAACAATCGCCTCTCTATGCGCGGGTATATGCGCGCTCCTCTTCTCACCCCCTCTCTTCCCTTTCCTGTTTCATTCGGCTACGAAAGGCTGCAAAAGTCAAAGGCAATATCTGGCAGGGGGAGCCGTATGCAGAGTGGTTGACATTTCGCTCCTTTCTCTCGACGTGCAATCTCGATTTTATTTCCCGCGCGAGTACGCGCCTCGGGTGTATCGTGGGGGCCGCTCGGATTGGAAACAACAACAACCCTTAGTTAATTACGCCCCCTCCTCTCTCTTTTAATTGTCTCGTTTCTCAAGACGAGAGCGAAACAACGTGTTGCGACGCGATGTTCGACATGCTAACGATCCCGCGAGAAGGACAGATAAATAGATCGATCCCACGATCTCTCGTGGCGGACGCGCCGATCAAGGCGGCGTTCCGCGCGGGCAGACTCGGCGAACTTGAACTTGAGAAAAAATATGCGAGCGTCGCCTTGAGGAGTTTCTCTGTCGGCGATGAGATCCGGTTGAGTGAGAGCGAGCGAGCAAAGGAAAGAGATAAAAGAGAGAGATAAAAGCAAGGAGGAGGAGCGGCAGCAGGAAAGAGAGAAAGAGACGGTCGCCGAAACAGGACCGACCGTATTGAGAAAATTGTACTAGCACGGAGGCCACGCACGCGAACTACGTCGACTTCTCCCTCGTGCTTGTGCTTTTATTTCCTTGATTACGCCGTGACGTAAACCGCCCGCGGCTGTCTCGCGTGTTAAGCGAATTACACCCGGCGGGTCGCGGTGCGCGATCACTCTACTTCGCTCGCCATTCAGAGAAATTCTCTCTCGGTATCTCGCCCGGCGGATAATTGAATTGTTGCGTTATCTTTGACAGGTGTTATCTGTTCTTGCTGATTCGGCCGCGGCCTGGGAGCTACCGATTAGCCTGCTCCGACCATCGCAGAAAGTATTGCTGGTAATCACTAAAGGAAGAAGTTGTGATCAACTATTGTTCAGTGGGGTTCAGTAGTCATTTCATAAATTGCTATTACTATTATATATGATGTATTTATGGTTGAATTTGAATAAACTTATCCGGTAGGATGGTACAGCCAAACCAATGTTTGATTATTTCGTTTAAATAATGCAAAATATCTGACGTTTTATTTTCGCGTCACTATATTTTGTCTATCATGCTATAGAATAATTTATTATTGACCAATTAATAATATACTTTTCTATATAAGGGTTATGCTTATAACATATTCTTGTATCGTTTAGAAGACATTATATTTATATATCTGCTGACAAGTATTGATAACAACGCAATAACAATCAATATGCGACGAATATTAATATTAGTGAATCAATAACCCCATTACTTTTAGATTTAAAAAAACATTATAATGATTAAAGCAAAAAATAATTTTGAAAGATATAAAGTATGAAAGTATATAGTCTTTCTCTGTAAAATATAAGGTATGAAACAATTCATAATAATTATGAGAAAATTTATTTATTTTCTTCGTTATCAGGGAATAATTTATATCAATAATTTAATAAAAACAAGAAAATTCAGTAGTTAGTAGATTATAGATTATTATTGCCACCGTAATCACTGAACTAGACTAAAGTGTTAGTAATATTTCGTAATTTAAGTACTCAAAATTAACTACTAGTAATAAAATTACTGAGCAATATATATAGTAATTTATTCAATCACACAGTAATATTTTTCTTTAAGGAAGACCGAATCTTCTATTAGAAGATAAAATCGTAGCGATAACGTAATATAATACCATAAGTTAATAACATACATAAAGTAAACGTATGTTAAATTGTGTTCAATATTTAATAAATAGACTCAGAACTGAAATTGCTTAATTTTTATAAAGATTTGCGATATCTAATGATTTTTTATTATATAACTAATTGAAACCTAAAGTATAAAATATTTTAAATTAACTTCTAATAGATATATAAAATTTAATATATATATAATATAAAATAGATATATAAAATAGTTTAACAAATTAATAACAATTTTAAAGTGTACGAGTGAACTTCTCAATGCCCAAACAAACTAGAATATTTATTTCGTTTGTTCAACTTCCTTTATCTAATTATCCGGATATGATTATCATGCAAGTAAAATTATTAATTGATTATACCGATCCTAAGATAATAACTATGATTTATTGACTATAATTATGACTAAATATTATATATAGTAATATATGTGCGAATAATTTATTAAGTGGTTTATCACTATCAATTTATTAGTAAATATTTTATAAGTTATATATTTAATATAAAATTTTACAATGCTTTTTTACAATGTTTTAACTAACTCCCAACTGATATCGACAATTGAAAAATCTTTTGTTAAATGGTAATAACGCGAAGCTTATTGTTATAACATATGACTGTATATGAGAAAACTGAGTTAATATATCGATTATAATAAAAATAGAGTAACATTTCAGACTAATAACGATAAGTTTCTGTATATGTTTGGAGATAAAAACATATACGGAATCAGCAATCTGGCAATCAGGCAATGAGTACTTTTATCTTAAGGAAAGGTTCTGGCTGAGATAGCCGAAAAATAGAAAGTTTTCATGAATTTTTTTTCAAAGGAATGAATAAAAATATCGATATATAAGGTTTTAGCCATACTATGTATCATTATCTTAAATATAAAAAAGTTATAAAAAAAGAAATTTCGTGCAGGTTATCTATATATGAGTGCGGTTATTGCTGAATGTCTCTAATTATTGGACAACATTACAACTCGTATAATAATCTGAAACAAGTTACATGAGAAAAATTGAAAAGTGTATTAAATTTGCTAGAGGATAAACCCAATTCCTTTAGAAAACTTCTAAAATTGGTATTTTCTTCGGAACACTAAATAAAAAAGAAACAAAGAGGAAAATTTCTTGTAACTTCGAAGTGACATCATTTTGTTAAATTTTGACTTTCTACAAAGGTTCATTTTTTAGCAAATTCAATACAGTTCTTAAATTTTGTTGTCCTATCAATTTTAAATTATTATACGAGCTATCATGTTGTCAATCAGCTAGAGGCGTCGGGCAATATTACATTCAGTACCAAAAACCTGGAAGACGAAATTTCAATTTTTTTATTAAAAAATAATTTTAAGTAATTTATGTCTATTTCTTTGAAAAAAAATTTTAAAATGTACGAGTGAACCTCTCAATGCTCTCAAATAAACTAGAATATTTATTTCGTTTGCTCAACTTTCTTTATCTAATTATCCGGATATGATTATCATGCAAATAAAATTATTAATTGATTATACCGATTATAAGTCAATAACTATGATTTATTGACTATAATTATGACTAAAAATTATATATAGTAATAATTATGTGTGCGAAATATATTTTTCGATTAAATGGTCTAAACTAGAGTCTCCCTCCTTAACTACTTTCTTATAATTAGAGGTATAAATATTTGAGAAAGGGATATAAAATCGACAGTCAACGCCGTGAAGATTCAGGTGAGCAAAATTGGTTTATTGAAACTAGTATTGCACAAACATAACATGTTGCGCTCACTGAGACGAGCCCGGTGCAGTCGCAACGATGCGTCGTCGATCGCAGTAGTCCCGTGATCCGTCCGTCATAATGCTTAGCTCGAAATCCGCAGTCTAGATTCGGAGTGAAATTTACAGCAGAATAGGCGCTGAGTACGCGGCGTATGCAGGCGCGACGGCGTGGGTGCTGTAAGCCAAGGGTGCGTAAGCCGCCGCCGCGATTGGAGCCGCGGCGATCGGCGCTGCAGCTGCAAGAGGAGACGCGACGATCGGCGCTGCAGCGAGGGTGTTGTAATTCCTGGCGACGTATTGGCTGCTACTGGCAGTGACGATCGGCGCCGGTACGGCCGCGACCGCGGGCGCCGCCGCCAGGAGGTGTCCCGGCGCAGGTGCAGGCGCGGCGGAAACGACGGCCAGAAGGATGGCGATGATGCACTAGAAGAACCAGTCGGTTCACTCGTTAATTAGCCAAGATTGAGAACACGGCGGTGGTCTAGTGAAGAGTGAAATGAGAGCGTAAGCGCGCTTCCAGGTGAGGCCGATGAGAGAAGCCCCGCCGCGCCGGTCGTTCTCGTCTTCTTCGCGAGATCTCGTTTAGTTGGAAATGTGCCGCGTTTTTCATTGGAAAGAAAAGAAAGGAAAGAAACTCGCGACATGATAAGAGTCTCTATAAAGTTTCCATGCATTTCATCTCCGTGGGGAATGTAGAGAAACGTAACACACAATTAATATAATAGTTCAATGTAACTTAATTATATAACTGATGAAGATATAATAACAGCCCGTCCAACATCAATTAACAATTATAAATTATTAATTATTATTACAATGTTATAATTTTTCACTCAGTAATGTAAGTGTAGTATAACGCATGCTGTACATAATAGTTACATTGTTAGGAAATTATAACATTGGTATGTGTTACTAATGTTAGTGTTAGTTGGTGTTTTTATGTTGAAAAATAATGTTTAATGATATAAATAATAATATAAATGTACATTATATAAATATAATGTACATTTATCTTATTTATACTTATGATATAAATATTTATTATATATAATTTTATATATATATATATATATATATATATATATATATATATATATTTTATATATTTTATATATTTATATATATTTATATATTATATATATTATATATATTTATATATATTTATATATTATATATATTTTATATATTTTATATATATATATATATATATATATATATTATTACATATGTATGTATATATGCAAATATAATTTAATAACGTAAATGATATTTTTTCTAATTATTTTAACGATTGTATTAGAAAGTTCGATTTCTATAAAATAGTTTTGAATAAGAAAATTCGAAATATAGATTTTAAGTAATTGTAATTGTAACTTGAGGGGGACGCCTCACCTGCTTGAACATGTTGTATAGTTTGGCGTCGAGAATGCTGTTCGAAGCGAAGAAAGAAGCTCGAAGGATCTGCTTTCAGTGTCCAAAAGCAAAAGCCTTTATACCACTTAGTTGAACCCCCAACTGGCACTTCGTCAAGGTCGTCGGTGTCACTACCTCCTGGTTCACGAGTGACCGACGTCGACGGACGAACCGCGCCTCTTTCTCTCTGTCTTGGCACGACTCTTTCACCGAGCACGACGAGCATCCTCAAGTGGCTTTCCTTTCGTAGTCGACGTTTTCGTCACCGATTTGCAACGGTTCAAAAGTCTTCAATTAGCGACTAGGAGACTGCTAGTTGCGCCAACCATTGTTCATGTTCATCAAGTCTCCCCTTAAGAAGTTTATTTACTTAAGCCAAACTATTCAAAATTATACAAAAATTTAACATAGTATTTATTGTACTAAAACACATTTGTAATTAAAGTTTCATGTGATTTATCTGCATGGTTTATGAGAAATTTAATATTAAATATGACACTTTATTACACGTATAACCTTATGAATATGATACTTTTCTACACATATAACCTGGAATAATCATTATTTCAATGTAACTTCGTAAAAAATGATACTATCTAAATAAAAAACTTACCATTATAAATATTACATATTAAGAAACGAGGAAGGAAGAATAATAAGGGAGACCGAATCTAAATGGGCCCAGAGGCATCTTGCTCATGTGCTTTCTTCAATATTTATTTTGAGAGGAACAATGAATACAAAATTACGAAATAGTCCTTTTAGAACAGAAATGCTTTTGTTTGATTACTTGAGTTTTATTAAAATCGAAATAGCATTACAGTTAAAAAATAGAAAAATTGCTTTAGTAATAGCAACGTATATACATATAAATTTTCGAGGTTCTCAAAATTTTATATTAATATTTTTCAAATTAAAAAAAGAGAAAAAGGTCGAGTCGAAACGTATATAATGTTGACATTGTAATTATATTTTTTTTATATAAATAGCACTATACATCTGTACCTGGCTCTTATAGGCTCCTTTCTTCTCTTCCTTTAATTTGATTTATATCTTAGAACCAACTCTTTTCTCTTTTAACTTTTAATTAATATTTTTCATCGTGAATGAATAAAGTTAAGTGACGTGTTACTAGCTAGAGTAAAGTTTCTTACAAATAATTATATACTTTATTTCGAATAATATAAGTAGCTTTCATTCATAAAATTATGAAATCGAGCATGTGGGTGAACGAGATAAAGTTGGTCCATAATTAAAAGCCAGTAGGAGGACTGTGGAGAGTTCTCGCGGAAATTCCAGAACTACTAACCAGGATACACATTTTATATGTGACCTTACCCTGCGATATTGGACAACTGAACCCGGTAAAAGATGGCAATGTTAGCGTATATTTGTATTTTGATTATTATAAAATAAAATATGCAGTTAACAGGATCGTGGCGAGCATTAACACATAGAAAAAGGCTGCCTCTATCATGGTTATGCGGTTAGTCACAACACCTGTTTGTCTGAGAAGTTGTAACTTCGGAATTCTGAAATATGAGGCATCTAGCCTCTCCTCTATTCACTATAATGTAGGCCAGAAAATTGCTGTTTTATATTTTAAGTAGCATTATACTGAATAAAACGTGACAAGGTAGTATCAGAAATTAGTTTCAAAAATTAACATTTATTATTTAGATAATAAAATAAATATGTAAAAACGTAATTTTGTTTGATAAATAGAATAAATTTATGAGTAGCTCTCTTAATGCGCTACTGTAAATACGCCCTTTAAGCGATTCGAAAATATATACCTATTGAATAAATTCTTTAAAAGAAAATACCAAAGATGTCAACTCGAACTTCTTTATTCTCAGATTTCTCATATCACAATACTATGCTGCTTTATTGGTATCTTCTTTTTGGTATTTTTTCTCTGCATGCTGGAGAAGTGTCTCTTTTTTTATTAAAACATTTTTTTTCCATGGATTTCGCAACGTATTCCCGTATGTAATAGAAGGATTTGGTTTTCAGCAATTCTCAGAAGATAAATTTGAACCCCGCATTTAGATACCTATTGGATAATGAGCTTCAGACGCATTCTTTTGCCCTTATTCAGACAAAAGTGTTGTGATTTTTCTGCTATTAACTATATCTTACACTTTGAAGAGTATTGAGTCATAAAGTCTCTCATACGTTTCAATCGCCAATTAAAACTAAACTCCAACAAATCGTCACATTATTCGACGTGTCAACTACACTGTAAAAAATTTATGTAAAATTACATCTGTTATAGTGAGTAATTTTGAGACTAACTATTATAGATGTAAATTTACACACGTAATTATTGCATAAAAATATATTTATATAGACGAAAGACATTTTGATACGTGTGTAAATTTACAACTATAATATTTGGTCTCATAATTACATGGAATTTTACATTAATTTTTTACAGAGTAAGACGAGTCAACAAGCCGGAGATTCACGGATTGATGGATGAACTAGGCGTCCAAGGATCCACGTGGGACCAATGCTACGATTGCTAATTTGGTCCAACGCACGAATAGCTGTGCCCGCTAATTGTAAACCGCCTGCCGTAAGTCGCTTCCATAACGTAATCATTTCCCCTGTCGCGCAATCTTGCCACACATTGTATTCAACCACGTATCTAGGTATGAGGGTTACATAATCACCAGCCACGCTCGTTTACATAATTCCGATTGGACAAATTCCCTGAACGTAGCACCTGGACGTAGTAAATGACTTCGTGAATCGTGCGCACCACTCGTTTTAAAGGCCACGTTGCTTGATCAAGGTTTCAATTAGAAAAATTTAATCTACCGTTGCCAATTTGAATTCCCACTTCGGGGATATGCAAGTTTATAGAATCGTTGGTAATTTATAAGCTCTTTGAGCTCTAAAAATAAAGTTTTAATAATAATTCTGATGGAACAAAATATAATAACGATAATAGTAACTTATTGATACAGAAACTTCGATGGTGTACATATATATATATATATATCACGTATTATATACGTATTATAACTAAATATATACATATATAACCAAAAATAAATAAACTACTTATATAAAACTTTTTTTATAAAATAAATTTAATGTAACGAACCGAAATATATAACAAAAAAATAATCTTTATTTTACATTTTATTTTACATTTTATTTATTTTTCATCTTAATTTTACATTATTTTATACTTTGACATTTTTAATCTAGCACACCAAGATCATTAATAATTTTGCTATCTACAAGCACAGACATTTAAATTTATTATTATATATTATTACTATTTCTATGTTTACCACTACAATGATTATATCAAAGTTGCATCGGTTACCAATTTTTTAACTAAGTTAAAAGATACAGGTAAGTTTTAAATTTTTTAAATCTTTATAAGTTTTAAGTAATTTTAAACTTTTTAAAATAATTTTAACATTTTAAAATAATTAGTTTAATTTAGTAAAAGTTACAACATTTAAAAAAATAATTAACGTAAATTAAAAATTGATTTATTTGAAATTAAGTTCAAAGTTATTAGCTTTTTAACTTAACTTTTAACTATTTAACTAATTATTATCTAACTCTGTAGTTATATATTATATCTCGCTTTCTCTCTCTTTCTCTCTCTCTCTCTCTCTCTCTCTCTCTCTTTCTCTCTCTTTCTATTACTTATTACTATTTAAACTAAAATCTCATTTGAGAACATCTAACTTTATAACTCAACAAATTGAGACCTTGGACACATTCGTATCCGGCGAATTAGCGATCTATCTGACGAGTCGAAATATAGTTACGACGCACTCGACGTCGTCATTGTGAGTCAAGTCGCGATTTTAGCACGACATTCTGGGTCACAGACAGGTAACCTAGGTGGCCGTTGGTTTATGTAACGTTCCCGCTGTATGGACTCCCCCAACTAATGGATCACGTAGCTGAGGAAAGTGCGTCGGATCACGGCTGATCGAGACGAAAGCGATCGACATCGCAGAGATGGATATTGCTCTGGTTTTGGCGTCGCAACCACGAGTTCCTGTTCCCCGCGACACGCGGGCGCAGGGCGAGAGGAAGAGAGACACGCGCATGGGAGCCTTCAGCCTGATTACTTCAGCGAGTTGGCCGGTAGCTGGGAACTCGAATCTCGTCCAACCACATCGTCTCGCGCAACCTTGAAAGGTGTATCCTGCTTCTGATCGCACGTCACGGCGACACGGCAAAAACATATCCCGGCGGATCGTTTGCATAAAATATCCGTTCGAGGGCACGAGTCGATCATTGATCCCGGGCGCCTTATCCCTTTGACTTCTTTACAAAGGGACGCGCCGGTGTATGTGAGCCGATCGGGGAGGAAAAATCGTGAGAGAAGGACGCAGTGACGAAGGCTTGAATGCGGGAAGCTATGCTTGAAACAAGAAAGCAGTAACACGTAATTTTACATTGAAGAGAGTAACTATTAAATGAAGTAGCGCGACATAAATCACGTCTCCTCCTCAAATTTTGTAAAATCTTCTATAAATTCTGTGAATAAAACGCACAGGATAAAAATACATATTCGGTTTATTTAACTAATTTCATTTAAATCCAGCAATTAGAATAAGCATTTTTAGACTGTATAGATATTAGAAAACTCATTCGTACGTTTTTCAAGATTTTATTATTTTTTTTTAAATAATTCCAAAACTTTTCATATCTGTTAATAATAAATATTTATAATTAAATTCTCAATTAATTGTAAAAAAATCATTAAATATTGTGCAATTTTAAATTTTAATTTGTACATTTTTTAATTTTTATTATTTTTGGAACAAAACTTTTTATATGCATTCATGATAAAGATTTATAATTCAGTTGTCAATTAATTGTATAAACGAATTTTTAAATCATATATCATTAAATAATAATTAAGTAATTTGTATATATTTTTATTATTTTTGGAACAATTTAAAAACATTTTATATCCATTAATCATAAATATTTATAATTCAACTACCAACTTATTGTATAAATAAACTATTAAATATCGTGTAAATAATAATTGAACAATTCGTATATCTTTAACTCTTATTAGTTTTTAAACAATATCAAAATTTTTTATTTTCATTAGTAATAAATTGTTGTACTTCAGGGCTCAATTAATTATATAAGATATAATTTAATAATTATGATTGAAATATTTTAATATGTATAATAAATATTACACTTAAATATATAATAATAAAATAAATAAATATTATGTGTATGATTAACTATTAACTATTAATTTAATGTAATATTAAATTTTAAGTATTAATTAAGTAATATTAATTATATAAATAATATAAATACTATATAAGTAAAACAATAAAATATTGTGCATATTTGAGAAATAATTAAACAATTTTTACATTGTACATTTTTAAATCTGTATTTTTCAAATAGTTTTATAATTTTTCGTATAAGTTAATAAACTTTTATAATTCAGTTTTATATAATTAATTATATAAATGGATCATTGAATATATCGTATGTATCCTTATGTAACAATTAAGCAATATTTTGTATCATTAGACATCCGCTTATCGGGACGCTTACCTTACATAACACGATTATTTAGAGATTCGTGTTATTGCATTTGAAATCATATGATTACGAGACAATATCATATATGTTACATTTCAAGGATACACCATGTACTCATATAGAACACTCAACTTAATTTTAAACTCTACACGACTCGGTTCTATATCGAAGCGAACGATTTATAATTAAATCAGGACGAGCATTCCGAAATATGCTATGGTACTAAAAAAATTTATAGTTCACATTATATATTATCATATATATTATACAAGGTGTCTCATACTCTCCTCCGGGCATTTTGTGGGAACGTAGAACAAGTTGAGGTGTATCGTTTTGCGACATTCGCAATAATTATCGAGATATTAATTGTAGAAAACTTGTAAATAATCATGCAGAATATGGTAAATGAGTTATAGTAGCGACGACTGCCGTCGTGTACTTATACTTTAGGTCAAATTGAACAAAAAATTCCTCTACCATTTACCAAATAATCATATAGATTTTTAATTATCAATTAAAGAAGATTATTGCACGATTTTGCGTGATAATGTACTCATCTTCTTTAATTAATAATTAAAAATCTATGTGATTATTTGCAAAATGGTAGAGGACTTTTTTGTTCAATTTGACCTAAAGTATAAGTACACGACGGCAGTCGTTGCTATTATAAACTCATTTAACATATCCTGCATGATCATTCACAAATTTTCTACAATTAATATCTCGATAATTATTGCGAATATCGCAAAACGATATAGGACTTTTATGTTCACCGCAACCTGTTCTATGTTCCCACAAAATGGCAGGAGGAGAGTATGAGACACCCTGTATATGTGTGTGTGTGTGTGTGTGTATACAGAGTGAGCCATTTTAATCGACGGATCCAAATTGCTCCTAAAACGCCAGCTACAAAAATGGTTAAGACAAGAATTGTAGAGGACAACGGGAGTCATTTTACCGTGCTAATAATTTTGACCTTCAGATCGATTTTCAAGGTCATTCGAAGGTCAAAGTCATTTTTTAAAATTAGAACTCCTATTTTTGACACCGGATTCGAAAAGAGCAGAAAATTTTACGTTAAAAATGATATTTAGATTTTTTTTCTGAGTCCAAGAAGGTCAAATAAAAAATGATTAAAAACAACTTAGAAGCTGTTAATGTTAATTTTAAAGATTTTTATGCATGATAAGTGTTTCGCGGTACTAACAAATACTAATAGAAGAAAAGTTGCGAAACGTTGTCATTCCATTTCTGATATTGATGCGCAATAATCTCACTTTGATATGATTATTAATAAGGCGTAATAAATAAAATTTTAAAAGTAAAAACAAACACTTTTAAAGTATTGCCTTTAACAATTTTTCTTTTTTGAGTGCAGGGTAACTTGAAAATTTTTTTTTAAATAAGGCTGAATATCCACGTCCACGTCGTTGTTTCCGGGTAACGCTAAAAGTATTGAATTAACATCTTCCAAGTTCTTGATCTACAATTCTTGTCTTAACCATTTTTTTGTAGCTGGCGTATTTTAGGAGCAATTTGGATCCGTCGATTAAAATGGCTCACCCTGTATATATATATATATATATATATATATATATTCTGTACATATTGTATATTATATATATTGTGGATTTTCAGGACATTCAGTTACAGTACATTTCGAAATATAGTCTACACATCATGTGTCCTTATAGAAATAAAGCGATCTTGCTCCTATGTTCAAATGGCACATTTGACCTATTTTGAATTATCGTACATGATCTTGCAAATTTTTCACGAATTGCACACCGCTCACTCGGACTCTGATTTACACGTCGAAAGTGGCAGCAATGGCCACACGTGATTGCACCAGGTTGATTAAACCGACATTACCGATTCGTACGTGTTGGCTCGTTCATCTGAGCGGAATAATTAATTGTCGAATCGTTGCATTTCTATCTAATTTTTTTACGAGATGCACATTATTATGTAGTTTACGTAAGCGACCGGTTACGCATCTCAGTCAAAATCCGTATCAGTGCAGCGGCCTCGGGAGCGATGACGAAAATTCAGCCCGATCCTGAAATGGGGACCGATCAGTTATTCCGGATACACCTCGCCCCCGCGAGTCGTACAGCAAATCGTGATTCACAGTGGGAGAGAGTCTTTGTTCGCGAGGGAAGGCCCCGTATAAAAGACACCGAGGTAATCGAGAAGAGCATCGCAGTTTTCGCAGCGAGACAATCACTTACAACACGATCAATATGATGACCAAAGTCCTCGTAAGTCCTCGCGAGCATTCAATGCGCACTAACACGTCACGAGTCATAAGAGCGACTCTTTGTACTCACACAAAAAATTATATTCTGTGTATTTTTGCGAGAAATTTTTTTAAACATTATTTATAACTTTCGTCATTATTCTATTTGTTATCTTTGTAAGATTAAGGTGCTAATATCTGGATACTAATCACGTTGGTACCGAACTCTAGATATTCTTATCGTTTTGGTTTTTAAATACGAATATTTAAATTTTTAACGGAGAATATATGTATGTATTCAACATATATATATTATAAAAATAACAATATTCAAAGTTAGATACGTTATCACCTTTCACCTTAATGCCTGATTTTTAATATGTGCAGAAAAAATAAAAGATATTAATTTGGTGGGTATTAATATAACATACATTTACTTAAATCTATATTCTTTTATTCAAATATAGAATAAACAATTGCTTCCAAGTGGTTTTTTAAGAAAAGTATATTTTTTTATTTAAAAAATGTTTTACAGTTTTATAGTTTAATATAAATCAATATATCATAATAAATGTTATCAGTACTCGCTCAATAAATATCTTTTTATTTCTTAAATACTTTTTTCCTCACAGTGTATACACACAGACATATACATTAGATGGCAGGGTAAATCACTTAACGTTAAAATTCCAAATATCTCTGCTGTTTTTTTATATTAGAGAAAAATGTGTGAAAAATATAAATTGTGTGATTAGAAGGGATAATATATTGTGGTCAGCTAATTTTTCAACATTACACAATTTATTAGATTCTATCTATTTATTAGAATATCTATATTGTTCTTTTATATTGTTTTTATATAGGGAGCAATGAGTAAGCAATGAATTGTGTGCTTGAAAGGAGGGTTGGCTGTCCGCAATATTTATCCCTTCCAACCACACAATTTATTTCTCATACATTTTCCTCTGACATGAAAAAACAACAGAGATGTTCCAGAATCTTTTACTTTTATTAAATGTTAATTCTTTTATAAATTTGTTAATTGTCACGTAATACATTCATTGCAGGTTCTCCTTGGCGTCCTCGTGGCAGCCTGTTCCGCCGGAGTAGTCCCAGCAATCCCGGCCGCGGTCCCAGCCGCTCTGACAGTCGGAACTTACGCTACGAGTTACAATGCACACGCCATCAATCACGCTATAGCCGCCCCGTACGTAGCAGCGCCGGCGATCGCAGCTGCACCTGCAGCACTCGCGACTGCACCGCTCGCCTACTCCGCTTACCCGGCCACCTATGCGTATTCCGCCCCGATCATCACTGGAAGACGTTGAAAGGGTTCGCGCATTGCCGAAAAATCAACCGCACTGACCTCGAATCGACGAAGAGCGATCGATAACGGTCGTTATCGATACGCCAACGTTTATTGTTCTTTTTGTAAATATTATTACCATTGTAAATATACGGCTGCCCGGCCGATGTGAAGTGCGCTTTACATCGGCACAAAATTTATCCGCAGATCAATATATCGTCTTTGAACCGTTGAGTCGATTTTGCTTCGTATATCTCCTCTCATCTCCTCTGCGCCTGATCGTAATTTAGTAATAATCGCCGAATCTGATCTCGTGAACCGTGGCCCTTCTTGAATAGAATTAGAATTCTATTCATAGAATTCAAGAATTCACGTTAAATGTAAGTAAAGAGAAGATTTATTTAGGCTCGGTTCAGAAAAAACAATGACAAGCGACGTTCTCTTATTAGAATTTCAAATTTGTTTGGAATTCGTTTGGATCTGACACAATCCGATTAACCGATTATACAGATAGCGGACAAATGTGACGTTTCAAATTCAGGTTATCCGGGGATTTGTATTTTCCAAAGTATCTGAATAGTTGAAGCATCGAATCTGAGTCCGCAGACCGCATCTAAGTTTGCAGAGGAATCAACAAAACACACACAGGAAAATATCATTTCACATTGCTAAAAAAAACAACTAAACGATTTACTTTCATTCTTTTATATAAAAATGTATTGCCTGCGTTCTTACGAAAATGTTCTTGCCAAAAGTCATGGAAGTTAAAAATACTTCAATATTTCTATTTTTCGTATAAAAATTTATGATGCATGTGTGCGAATGTGTGTGTATACGCCCGCACTTTCAGGGATAAGGATTGATTCGAGAATCTTTTTATGAGAACGAGGCGTCGAGTTATAACGGGTCCTGGGTACCTATTATGGACTTCTTCAGAACCAATTCCGATCAGAATTGATTCCGAAGAAGCCCACAATAGGTACCCTAGACACCTATTCATCCTGAATTCATCCCTCTTAACGACGAATAAACGTAAGAAAATAGAAAGTTGCACACGAATCTTCGAGCCGGGCTGACGTGTGGCGAGACGGACCGCGAGATTTATAGAGATTACACTTATTAGCGCGAGAGCTTGTAAATAGCTTGATCAAACGCTTAGTTACTTTTATAAAAACGTGTTCTTTATCTCTCTATTCTCGGGCGCGAGTAAACGTAACAATATACAGGGTGAGCCATTTTAATCGATGGATCCAAATTGCTCCTAAAATACGCCAGCTACAAAAAAATGGTTAAGACAAGAATTGTAGAGGACAACGGGGGTCATTTTACCGTACTAATAATTTTGACCTTCAGATCGATTTTCAAGGTTATTCGAAGGTCAGTCATTTTTTTAAATTAGAACCCCTATTTTTGACACCGGATTCGAAAAGAGCAGAAAATTTTACGTTAAAAATGATATTTAGATTTTTTTTCTGAGTCCAAGAAGGTCAAATCAAGAACTTGGAAGATGTTAATTCAATACTTTTAGCTTTATCCGGAAACAACGACGTGGACGTAGTAAGTTCTGTTTCCTTTGGGTACTTGATTATCGTGAGTCCCCTTGCCTCTCACCATAACTGCAATTTATCATAATTATAAAGATGTTGTTTTTGCTCAACGGACTACAACAAAGGAAGATATGATGGAACAAATTCGTAGAGCTTGCGCAGCCATTCCTAGAGACACTTTGCTTTCAACAGTGAGAAATTTTGAACGACGTTTAAATTTGTGCCTTGAAGCAAACGGAGGCAACTTTGAACAGTTACTCCGTGGGTAATTATGATAAATTGCAGTTATGGTGAGGGGCAAGGGGACTCACGATAATCAAGCACCCCAGATGTGAGAGACAAGGCGACTCACGATAATCAAGCACCCCAAAAGAAACAGAACTTACTACGTCCACGTCGTTGTTTCCGGGTAACGCTAAAAGTATTGAATTAACATCTTCCAAGTTCTTGATTTGACTTTCTTGGACTCAGAAAAAAAATCTAAATATCATTTTTAACGTAAAATTTTCTGCTCTTTTCGAATCCGGTGTCAAAAATAGGAGTTCTAATTTTAAAAAATGACTTTGACCTTCGAATGACCTTGAAAATCGATCTGAAGGTCAAAATTATTAGCACGGTAAAATGACTCCCGTTGTCCTCTACAATTCTTGTCTTAACCATTTTTTTGTAGCTGGCGTATTTTAGGAGCAATTTGGATCCGTCGATTAAAATGGCTCACCCTGTATATACACCATATCTGACGATAATATATAAAACTCTCGTATGTGTACGTGTAGATTAGCTCAAACTAAGCAAAAAAGTCCTCTACAATTGTGCGAACAAACACGTAAAATTTTGAGTTATTAATTAGAGAAGATTTCCAGGTAGAACACAAAATCATTTTGCTGTCAAGATAATATCATTTTGACATCATTGTCATGAAATTGTCATGAAAATAGTATCGTTTGACATCATTGTTATATCATTTGACGTCATTTTGACTTTTATATGACCTTGTGTTCTACCTGGATCGGCGAATGATCAAACGGAATACGATGCGATGGTAATTTGCATTGTGTGCTTATGCATTAGGTCAAACTGAACAAAAAAGTCCCCTATCATTTTACAAATAACCACGTAGATTTCTTAATTATTAGTTATTAATTAAAAAAGATCGATAAACCCTCTCCGCCATATGTGTAATTATTCGTCAGTTTTCTTTAATTAATAACTCAAAATTTTACGTGGTAGTTTGCAAAATATAGAGGAATTTCTTTTTTTCAATTTGTTCTAATCTCTACACATACACGAGAGTCATATGTTATCATCAGACATCCTGTATATACAATACAATTGACAACATATTTTTACTTTACATCGCCTTTCTATAGTTTATTTTATTTTATATTATTTCTGATTTTTTTCAAAAGTTTTATCTCTGAATCACAATAAAACTTTACATACATCATACTGAATACTTAAAATATATAAACAAAAATTGAGATTCTTGCCGTTATTTCTTAACTACATTTTTTTTTGCTAAAGATAGCAACATTATATATCTCCTTAACACAGCATGGATAAGAATACTTTCAAGCAATAAGATGACATCAAATGAAGTATTAATGACGTATTAATAGGACTGGTCGCCACGATTGGAGCAGATCTTCGTGACTCAATAGCAATATTGTTGAACTAATACTCAAATTATGAAGACAATGCATTGCTCAAAATTCTCATAGTGAAATTTCACTTTGAAAGTAGAGACGCATTAATGACGACTTTAATGTCAATAATACGTGCCTGCTGGAGTTTACACTTCAAAGTAAAATAACTTTTGATCCAATTTTTTAGTCAATGTCAAATTCTTTGTGTCACACTTTTAGATGTGATATAAATTAATTTGTAATTTTTTTCAAAATTTTTATACATTATTTCTAAGACAGGTATTAAATAATAGGTATTAAATAATAGTTATCTTCAATAAAAATATTTTCTTGATAATAGTTTTAAATATATTCATCACAAATTTTAGAAAAATTCATTATCATGTAGTCAAAAGAAGAATTTATTCTTTTTATAAGAATATTACCCAAATTTATAATTAATAACCCAAAATTACTCAAATTTTATTATTAAGGCTTCTGGCCCCTCGCATTGTCTATCTTTGTTTAATGACGTCAAAAGCGAGAAAATGCATGCTAAAAATTTTTGCGAAATTCGTTAAAATAAAAATATATATCCATAAAGTAACACTTGCAATCGATTAAACAAATTTGTAAGATATTCCGTGCACTCCTTTTTTGCTCTAATCAATCAATAATTTGTCGTAAATTAACATAACATACAATTTATCTTCTTATTTCTTTGTCTATTTCCTATTTTTTTGTCTATTTCTATTCAAATTAATTTACAATAAATTATTGATTGTAGAGCAAGAAGGAAGTGCACGGAATATTTTACAAATTTTTTTAATCGATTGCAAGTGTTACTTTACGGATATATATTTTTATTTCAATGTATTTTGCAAAAATTTTTAGCATGCATTTTCTCGCTTCTGACGTCATTACAAAGAAATAGACAATGCGAGGGGCCAAGAGCTTTAAACATTATCCAAAAAAAGAGTTGATTCAACTCCATATAAGAGGCAAACCAAATATTTTTTCAACTTAGTATTTTCTTGATCGAAATGATAATTCTTATTAGGATTCAAAATATATTTTGAATAAATTTGATATTTATAATGAATAATGAATTTATAATAATTTATAATAAATTTGCGGATATACGAGGGTGGTCTGAAAAGTTTCCGACCTAACAAAGATACAAGTCATTTTTTCTGAAAATTGTTTTTTATTTTTCAACATAGTCTCCTTGTAAATCTACACACTTCTCCCAGCGATGCTCCCATCTCTGTAACCCGTCGAAATAGTACTCGGCGTTTTTCTCTGCAAAATAATTGTTCACGAAGGTGATTGCCTCTTCATTTGACGAAAATCTCTGTCCTCCGAGCGCAATTTTTAGATGAGGGAACAAAAAGAAGTCGCTTGGGGCTAGATCTGGTGAGTAAGGTGGATGGTCAAGCAGTTCAAACCGTAATTCGTGGATTTTCGCCATGGCAA